TGCATTTCCTAGATACCACTTCTATTATTCCTGTGCGTACCATAAGAGACTAAAGGACTACATGGGATATGTATCAGAGACATTGTAGAACTTACTTTTTTAAAAAGAGTAACGAATGGAGTTTCTTGCTCGTTCTTCTCCATTCGAACCTACATTTTGGAATGAGCACCTAGCTTCACCTAGCTTCACTGACGGACTGACTGACATAGCATTATTTATTTTGTATTTGTTGACGTTTCAAAAGTACCAAATTTTGGTTTAGCTGAGATAAATGCTTTGACTTTGACTTTACATATTTGAAAGACACCGAACAGCAGCGGTCCCAGAAAAACCCGAACCTTTTACACTTGATCTCCAATTATCCTGCCCAAATATAGATTAATAATAATAATAAGTAGTAATCTCGTTGCCCCTCTGTTACTATATCTAGCAACCATTCCCGGGGCCCGGTCGGTGAGTTGGCGAGTCTCCGCCTGCCATTTTTACGTGTAAAAATTACATTGTTTCGGCAGGTGCCATAGTCATCCATAGTTCCCCATTTACTAGTCCACAGCAACCCATCCATAGCCCTACCTTTTTTCTTCCATTATCCACAATAGTTCTACACTAACCGGGGACTGTCCTTGGGTGCATTTCCATAGTGCATACAGGGATAGTCGCCGGTTTGTGTTTCGATTACATTTATATTAAAGTTGTCTAAAGGGCCTCTGCGCAGTTGGCTTCGGGCCCTCGTACGCCTCCCAAATGACCGGGACCCTGTGGTCCCGTGAATGGTAAAGACATACATAATAATAATAATAATAATACCAATTTATTTCAGATAATAAAATCCATAAAATTACATTAAAAACGAATTCAGGTTCAAAATTTTATAAATAAATTAAAAAATAATAGTTATGTTTAATGCTCTAACGTAAAGAATGCCAATTAAATAGTAAAAAGGTTTATGTCGACAAAATAGGTCCGATGTTTAATAAACATAACATAATATCACGCCTTCTATCGCCGAAGGGGTAGGCAGAGGTGCACATTACGGCTCTTAATGCCACTATACAATGTAACACCCACTTTTCACTATGCATGTTATGAGTCCCATGTAATAGGGGGTGAGCCTATTGCCATATACCGGGTACAATCTAGACTCCGTGCTACTACTGAGGTTTTAACCCAGTAATACTTTGCCCGACCCGGGAATCGAACCCGAGACCCCTTGCCAGGCAGTTGCATTTGCGACCACTTGGCCAATGAGGCCGAAGAGGTTTAATAAAATACTAATGAATTATTATTTAATCAGGCTTTTATTTCCATTATACATAAAGAAGTAATCATCATATTGTATCCAGTCTACTTTCATCCAAAGAAAAATGGTGGCGGTGGTGGTGGTGGAGGTGGGAATACAGGTCCAAAATAAGGCCCAAAGCCAGGCCCAAATCCAGGTCCAAATCCAGGCCCAAACCCTGGGCCATATCCGGGTCTATACCACCCAGGACCGCCCCACCAATGGCCTTGTATGTCCTGCAAATATACAAGAACAAAATTGTTAGATAATAAAAAAAATACAGTCAGTATCAAAAATTTTATGGAAATGTAATTAAAATTGATTTATCACCCTTTTTTAAAAGGGGAAAGTCATCCAATGACTTCTCCCACCCGGGTGAGGTGGGAGGGAGTGTCAGACTCTTACTGAATAAAAACCACCCCGTTCCTACTCCTGCACTTCGAGCAGAAGCACCGGTAACCAGTTAAGTTCTTCACGGCTCCGAATAACGCCCATAGGCCAGCATGCATTGGACAGCCTTGAGTCGTAGACGTTTTTATGGTTGTCACATATAACAACTATAGCTTCTGCCAGCGGTTTCGACCGCGTGGAAAACGTAAAGCAGCCTATGTGTTACACTATACCATAATCTACGTATATTCCAAATAAAGTACCCAATGTGTGCCCAGGATATTAAAGTGCCTAATATTAAAGTACAGCCATCAGACCACCACAGCTGGGGCCCAACAGGGCTGATGCCGATATCGAACCGCGGAAGACTTAACGGGTTGCCGGGGCTTCGGCTCGAAGAGCAGGAACGGGGTGATTTTTAGTCAGTAAGAGTCTGAAACTACCTCTCACCTCACCCGGGCGGGAGAAGTCATTGGATGATATTTCCCCTAAAAAAAAGGATATTAAAGTATAATCATACGAAGTTTCATCGTAATCGGACCAGTAGTTTTTGCGTGATGCGTGAACATACAGGCAGACAGACAGACAAAATTTTTTTAATCACAACATTTTAGGGTTCGGTAGCTGTCTAGAGGTAGTAACACACCCCACTATTTATTTTTTTTTATTTTCAATGTACAAAATGTATACTTCTATAGTATTTTTCATATGTATAGATTAGGATGTATATGTACCTACATTTATTTTAAACGACCTTGAATGTTAGATCAAATTCCATTGACCGAGAGTTAAACCACAAATGTCAATTAGCAAGTTAAAGTGACAATTTGTATTACAAACAATACTATGCATAATTATTTCTTTGCTAATAGATGACTTTTTTTTTAAGGGGGGATAATCATCGAATGACTGCTCCCGCCTGGGTGAGGCGGGAGGGAGTGTCAGACTCTTACTGACTAAAAACCACCCCGTTCCTTCTCCTGCACGTCGAGCCGGAGCCCCGGTTACCCGTTAGGTTCTCCGCGACATCGAGAAGGGATAGGTAGAGGTGCACATTATGTCACTGTACAACGTAACACCGACTTTACACTATTCTATGTTGAGTCCCATGTTATAGGGGGTGAGCTTATTGCCATATACCGGGCACAATTCCAGGCTCCGTGTTACTACTGAGATTTTTTTTTAAAACCCGGTATGAGAAATGGCAACATGGTCTAATCTTATTTTAAAAATTAGAGTTATTCTTTCGCGCACACTGCTCATGAGGAAGAACCCCTCTGTGGTTCGAAACTAGTAAAGCTTTTCTCAGTATATTCACGTGAGTAACCCGCGATTTTAGTGATTGTTGTATAGAACAAATTATTTATTTTGAATGCTTTGAAGTTCCTTTTACCATTGAAGAAAGAATCTATGGTCCTAAATTTTTATAGTAACAGGATTCCATGGTTTACATGTAATTATTGGAACAATATTTCTTATAGTATATAGGACTTCCTCGTTGGCCGAGTGGTCGCAAGTGCGACTGCCGGGCAAGGGGTCTCGGGTTCGATTCCCGGGTCGGGCAAAGTATTACTGGGTTTTAAAAAAATCTCAGTAGTAGCACGGAGTCTGGAATTGTGCCCGGTATATGGCAATAGGCTCACCCCCTATTACATGGGATTCATAACATAAATATTGAAATTACATTACATTACATTGTACCAGTGGCATAATGTGCATCTCTGCCTATCCTTTCGGGGATAAAAGGCGTGATGTTATGTTATATAGTTATCTACAATCTCGGACTTCTCGTCTCTTTGTCTCCGATGATTATCTTGAATTTTATATTCGGGGGCAATATATCGATCTACTTAGGTTCAATTTTCAGAAACTATCGGTTAGTAAAAAACAAAACATCTAATAAAGCTCGGCCATTCAGATACTATACATTAAATTAAAGCGTCTAGCTTCATTGATAGACAGACGGACCGGCACTTAAATTTTTGACATATCAAAAGTAGGTACCTAACTAAGGTTCAATTGAAATGAATGCTTTGACTTCGACTTTAAAAAAGCAGTTAGCTCACCTGCGCTAAAAAGACGAGTACAACTAAAGCAATAATAAAACTATTAATAAATCCCATTTTTTTATCACTACACTTGCTTCACAGTACGATATAACATATTGATTTGAACAGATGAACTCAAATGCACTGATTTTATACAAATGAAATACAAAATTATATTTACCGTCCTGAATATATTCGATGGACTTTGTTACAGAGCGTTAAGAGCTAAAATGTCTTAAAGTAGGTGTGTTTTTACAATGGTTCATCTTCTATAGCGTATTATTGATTTTGACATATATATGAGAATTGGTGTGACTATAATAGGTGACAGTTTTTCCTATATGTTTAAGGGTTATTCCCTTACTATGTCATATATTGATTAAAGCCATTTAGATATAGTATGATGATTAACTGAAACAATGCGTAGTTAAGATGCGAGAATATAATATAGAATATAAGTGTGTGTTTGTTTGCTTTCTTGTTTTTTTTTTAAGGGATAAGCCCGCCACAACCTCCCAGAACCGCTGCAACTCCTGTAAGCCAGGATCTACAGTAGATACAACCATGAAGACACCGGAACATTGAAGTCCGGCGCGAACATGAGTAACTGTCTTGGTTCCCGCAACGAAGTGAATCAGAAGATATTATAAGAGGAGAAGAAGAAAAAACTATAGTTTCCACTTCCCTCGGTGAATTACTGCAGGAGACAGAATGAATTAAGCCTAAAGGCACAAAGAAGAGACTGTACAACTGGCTTTCTTGTTAGTTGTTGTAACATAACATAACATCACGCCTTTTATCTCCGAAGGGGTAGGCATAGGTGCACATTATGCCACTATACAATGTAACACCCACTTTTCACTATTTATGTTATGAGTCCCATGTAATAGGGGGTAAGCCTATTGCCATATACCCGGCACAATTCCAGACTCCGTGCTACTACTGAGAGTTTTGTAAAAACCCAGTAATACTTTGCCCGACCCGGGAAGCGAACCCGAGACCCCTTGCCCGGCAATCGCAATTGCGACCACTCGGCCAACGACGCAGTCAGTTTGTTGTTGTATAACTCCTAAACGGATGTACCGATTGTGTTATTTTTTTGTACAGAGATAGATTAGGCTCTGGAAAAAGAAATAGGATAATTTAAAGTCCTTGCTTTATACTGAATTCAAATTAAATCGCGCAGAACAAGGCAGCGCCGGTCACTAGAGATTGATATTGGTCAGACGGCGAGTTACTCTTGCTCGTCATCAACAGATTCCATAAAAAAACTACAGGGCATATTAATTTCAACAGTCCTTTAATTACATAAACAATTAGAAAATCGTCATTATACTTCATCCAGTTCATTTTCAGCCATAGAAGAACGGCGGTGGTGGCGGCGGTGGCGGGAACACGGGTCCGTAGTAAGGTCCGAAGCCAGGCCCAAATCTAGGCCCAAACCCAAATCGTGGTCTGTACCATCCAGGACCGCCCCACCAATGGCCGTGTGTATTCTGTAAATTTAAAGAAGACATTTAAAAAACAAAACGTTTTTCATGACGTAAAAGACTGCTATATAAACACTTTTTTTTGGGGATAATCCCTTAACAATCTCCCAAAATCACTGCAACTCCTATAAGCCAGGATCTACAGTAGATACAACCATAAAAACACGACGGAAACGGAACATTGAAGTCCGGCGCGTCCCAGGGACATGAATAACTGTCTTGGTTCCCGCAACGAAGTGAATCAGAATTTTTTTTTATGGCATAAGCCGGTAAACGAGCAGACGGATCACCTGATGGAAAGCAATCGGCGTCGCCCATGGACACCTGGAACACCAGAGGCGTTACAAGTGCGTTACCGGCTATTTGTGGATTAGGAGTTTGAGGATCGTTGGGGATTCAGGGATTGGGGAGATTGGGGAAGGGGAAGGTAATTGGGCCTCCGGTAACCTCACTCACACGACGAAACACAATGCAAGCGTTGCTTCACGTCGGTTTTCTGTGAGGCCGTGGTATCACTCCATATATATATATATATATATATTATAAGAGGAGAAGAACAAAACGATAGTTTCCACTTCCCTCGGTGAATTACTGGTGTGGTAGTCGACATAATACCATGCTTTTAAATCCGCAAGGGAAAGGTACTCATTTTTTTTTTATTCCACGACGGTGGCAAAAAAGCACACGGCCCACCTGATGGTAAGCGGTTACCGTGGCCTATGTACGCCTGCAACACTTGGGGCATTACATGCGTCTTGCCGACCCTTAAAAATCCTATTCACCGCCCTCTTGAAGAACCTCATGTTGTAGCCCATTTTGTAAGTAACGTCCACCTTCCACCAGCTATGTTATCAGTCCCATGTTATCAAAGGGAGTGAGGTATTTTACTCTAAACGACTTAACATCATTACATCACGCCTTTCATCCCCGAAGGGGTGGGCAGAGGTGCACATTACGGCACTTAATGCCACTGTACAATGTACCACCTACTTTTCACTATTTATCTTATAAGTCCCATGTAATAGGGGGTGAGTCTATGACTATATACCGGACACATTTCCAGACTACGTGTTACTAATGAGATTTTTTTAAAAAACACAGTAGTACTGTAACCCGAGACCCGTTGTCGAAGTGCAGGAGTAGGATCGGGGTGGTTTTTAGTCAGTAAGAGTCTGACACTCCCTCTCGCCTCACCTGGGCGGGAGAAGTCATTGGATGATTTTCCCCCCTCAATAAAAAAAAGACCCCTTGCCTGGTAGTCGCCCTTGCGAAAAAAAAGAAAAATTAACCCACCTGCACCAAAAACACGAGTGCAACTATAACAACAATTAAACTATTAAGTAAACCCATTATTGTAACACAACACCTTGTTTCCTTATACACTAAAACTTATTGATTTGAATCTACAATAGCAAATGCATCGATTATATACAGACGAATTACAAACTTACATTTACCGTCCTGAAAGTATTTTGTTAGCCGTATTACAATGGCATAAAGAGTAAAATTGCGTTTAAACAAACGCATCTTCATCAAAGTATTGGTTTTAACATATATATGAGAAATATCGTGACAATATAGGTGATAGTTTTTCCTATATCTGTCGAGGGTTATTCCCTTATTATGTCATATATTGATGTTAATCATTAAAATGATGATTAACCACAAAATGAAAAATAATGGTGCAACATTTAATAATTCACATGATACACAAAAATAGATCTTAATACATAAGACAACAAGGACATATTTCGTATGTTCATAATGGCTATTATAGTCTGTAACACCAAAATGTATATGAGAATTGCCCACGAGATAGATAGAGGTGATTCTAGTACGCTAATAAGACGTATCACTAAATGTCTAAATCACGGCAACAAACCGCAAGGTATTTCCACAAATCTAGATCTTAAAGGTTTTCCTTGTACGTCACATTTTGCTTTGATTACAGATAAGGGTTATCTTCATTGATTGAAAATTAAAAAAAAGGAAAGATGAAATTATTTCCGGACTTCAGTAAACAGCTAAATAGTTGAAACGTTTGCCAAAGTCTCAGCTCCGTTGGCCGAGTGGTCGCAAGTGCGACTGCCTGGCAAGGGGTCTTGGGTTTGATTCCCGTGTCTGGCAAAGTGATACTGGGTTTAAAAAAAAACTCAATAGCAGCTCGGAGTCTGGAAATGTGCTCGGTATATGGCAATAGGCTCACCCCCTATTACATGGGACTCATAACATAAATAGTGAAAAGTGGGTGTTACATTGTACAGTGGCATAATGTGCACCTATGCCTATCCCTTCGGGGATGAAAGGCGTGATGTTAAGTTATATAATAATCTGGGTGTCTCAAAGGCCCGAGTGAGAGTGACTAGGGGCCTTATGGCGTTTGTTTTGAGGGGGACTTCATCAAAAGGCTCCTCCCACCATTGATGAGGCTAGAGGGAGTGTAACTTATAAGTAGGGCCAGCATTTGGTCAGTATCTCGCCTGGTGGTAAGTGACGTTTCGGCCTGTAATGAACATATTATGACAATACTAAGATATACGCCTGCCCATAAGAAACCTATTCACTCGGGTATTGAAGATACTCAGGTTATACCATTCTGGAACTACAGACCGGCAAAGAATTTTACTACTTCAACAAAAATATTTTGGATATCAACCTCACTTCACCCCTGTTCCGAACGAAAACGCAAATAATGGAATAATTAATAATTATTTCATTGAAACACTACCCGCAAGTGTGGTGGGTGAGCAGACATGTCGGTAAACCAATACATCAGTGTCCACTGGCAACGTTTGTGCAGAGGGTTGCAAAATATTAATTATTTTCATCCAAAGGGAAAGATTTTGATTACTTTTTTGTTAAAATATGCATTGGATATAGAAGAGTCATGCTTCGGCACGAATGGGCCGGCTCGACCGGAGTGATACTGCGGTCTCACAGAAAACCGGCGTGATACAACGCTTGCCTTGTGTTTCGTCCTGTGCATGAGGTTACCGAGGCCCAATTACACCCCCCCCCCTTCCTCAATCTCCCCAATCCCTGAATCCTCAACAATTCTCAAATTCCTAATTCCCTAAGGGCTGGTAACGCTCTTGTAACGCCTCTGGTGTTCCAGGCGTCTATGGGCGACGCTGATTGCTTACCATCAGGTGATCCGTCTGTTCGATTACATTCTGTTCCATTAAAGGGCGGCAATGCGCTTATAACCTCTATGGTGTTGTGAGTGTCCATGGGTAGACCGATTGCTTATTATCATAAGCGACCTTTAAGGGTCACTTCTCTAGCGACTTCTCCAAATTGACAAGTTCCATAGCCCTCAAAGGAAACTATCGTTTTATTTCTTCCTCTCTTATAATTATCTTCTGATTTATTTCGTTGCGGGAACCAAAACAGTTATTCATGTCCCTGGGACGCGCCGGACTTCAGTGTTCCGGTAATTTCAAGGTTTTATCGCCTGTAGATTCTATCTTACAGGAGTTGCAGAGGTTATAGGAGAATGTGGCAGGCTTGTTTCAAAAAATAATCCCTCATATTTATTTCGTCTCTCCTTGGGAGTTCTAAATCGACAAGATAGTGACTTCAACCACTAGGTTGAAGTCAAATTCAACCACTAGTAGTGATACTAATAACTACTTCATTTCAACAACAAAAACAACAATCACAAAGTCCATTGACCCCCAAAATGCGTGGTGTACGCATATAAACATAATCTTTCAGTAACAACATATAATTGACCCACATAACATCTCTACAGTTACATCGCACGCGATATATATCCAGTATTACTTGGCCTCTCAACTTGAATAGAAACTTAATGGCGATAGTTTAACTTATGCTGGGTGTGGTAAGGGGCTAAATTTAACCGATTTAAGTAAAAACAAGTTATGTGGTGCTTTCTTGTGTTGTTGTTGAATTGATTTTATGAAGCCGTACTTCGTAAGGGTCAACTAAGGGACTACAATTCTAAGACGTGACCAGATAGCAGCGCATTGAACTTATCAAAATATGCTTTCCAACCTGGAGATTGTAAAGTATATGTACCTCTAGATAAACTGCGACCTCCAAACCCTCTTGCTAACGTGAAGATTGTGGTGAATCATGGCAAATGACAAGTCAGAAGTCGAGCAAATCATTTTTATTGGAGATTCGGTTGCCATTCAAGAAAGAAAAAAATATTTAGTATATATTGTTAAGTTATAAATTGTATAGATATATTTATAGAGTATTGTATACTCTTTGGTATTATTTACCTATATAATATAATATAATAATAATAAGCCCATTTATTTCCAACAACCTTAAATAACATTTTCTCTTAATAAATAAATAACTATAACTATTATGTCATTGGAACCCCATGCTGGGTAAAGGCCTCCTCCAGCTTACTCCACAATTTTCTATTTCTTGCTTTTATTCTCCAATTTTTTCCAGCTACTTGAATTATCTCATCAATCTTTACATTATTCTCACATGTGTGTACAATATTGGAATATGTATCAGAGCAATGTAAAACAGACTTTTTTTTAAAAGAGTAACGAATGGAGTTTCTTGCTCGTTCTTCTCCACTTGAATCGACATTTTGGAACGAGCGCCTAGCTTCACTGACAGACAGACTGACAGACTATTATATATCCCATATTTGTTGACGTTTCAAAAGTACCAAATTATGGTCTAATTGAAATAAATGCTTTTGAGTTTGAGTTTTGAGAGTTTGAATCCACCTGTTCCTTGGATGGCCTCTATTTCTTTTCCCCGCAGGTCGTTTCCATGTTGTGGTTTCTAATGTCCATCTCTTGTCTGTGTATCTCGCTATATGTCCAGCCCATCGCCATTTTTGTGTACGAGCATAATGAAGTACGTCTATTATGTTAGTTTTTTCTCTAATATTCTTGCTTCTTATCTTTTGAATTTTTCTTATTTTTAATATACTTCTTTCCATCGCTTTCTGACAGTTTGTTAGTTTTGTTTTTATTTTTGTGTTATACGTCCATGTTTGGCAGCCATAAGTGAGAGTTGGAAGAATACAAGTATTTACCTATATATTTATGTCGTATTTATATTGTAGTGTACATTTTAAATATTTTTATGCTGACCAAAAGCCTCTCCTGAAATGGGGAAGGTTTGAGCATTAATCACAAATGCGGGTTAGCGATTTCAAATTTATAATTAGAAATTATAACTCCAGGTTTCCTCACGATGCTTTCTTTCACCGTTTGTCAATGGGGTCTAAAAGTCAGATTAGTACTTGCTTAGTAGATTTCGAACCTGGCTGTCTTAACTGCCGGGCCAACACAGACATATTATACATGCTGCGGAGAACTTAACGGATTACCGGGGCTCCAGCTTGAAGGGCAGAAGTAGGAACGGAGTGGTTTTTAGTCAGTAAGAGTCTGACGCTCCCTCCCGCCTCACCCAGCCGGGAGAAGTCATTCGATGATTTTCCCCCCTTAAAAAAACCTATATATATACATATATATATATATATCAATACATTTTTATATCTTCCCATACATACATACATACATACATATAGCTTCCCTTACAAACTTTATGTGATTGATCATGATGAATCTCGTATACCGTGGTCTGACCGATCATTATATATATGTATATATATATATTATACGATATAATATTATATTTTGTGGGTTTATTGGTTCAGTGGGTGTGTTTATGGATGTTGGTTGCAAGACCTTCGGTTTGATTTTTAAGGAATGTTTAATCATTAATGTAATGCAATCAGATTGCGTCATTGACCGGGTGGTCGCAAGTGCGACTGCCAGGTAAGAGGTTGCGGGTTCGATTCGGTTAAAAATTAATCTCGGTAGTAGCATGGAGTATGGAATGTGCCTGGTATATGGCATTAGGCTCACCTCCTAATACATGGGACTCATAACATAAATAGTGAAAAGTGGGTGTTACATTGTACAGTGGCATTAAGTGCCATAATGTGCACCTCTGCCCACCCCTTCGGGGGTAAAAGGCAATGGTATGTTATGTAAAATACAATTTTTCATTGTTTTTTTTAGTTAAGTTGTTACGTTGGTCAATTGATCGTAAATGTGTGTAGCGAGAAAAGGTTATCGGGTTTGCATCCAAAGAGTTATTGGTAACTTTTCTTAGATTTTTAGTAATAGCACAAGGTTTAGGATTGAGTGTAACTCTAAAAAAACAAATGAGGCCCCTCTGTCAACTCCTTCGCGGATTATAAAGCGTGACGCTATGTATATTATGTAGATATAACTCTACCACTGACATAAAAGGTAATACTCGTATAATTTTTAATTTAATTGTCATAATATCTGTCTACTCATTTTGTTATGCGAAAAAATATCATCGGGCGGCCATTTTGTGTTTTTTATTTTTTCTTAAATACTTTTTCA